ATGGAGTTTAGACTTGTTTGCCTACAGATTTAAATATTTAAAAAAAAAAAAAAAAAAAAAAAAAAGCCATCTTCTGTTCAGGAAAATGTATTGAAAAATTTGCACATTTAAATATTTAAATAAAACACAAATGCATTCGAATTAATAATAATTGATGAAACGCGCACTATTCGTATGCTCCCGTTAAATTATGAATTAAAAAAACAACAAAAAAAACAACAACAACAACAAACAAACAAGCTTTCCTCCTTTGACTCAGCTTAACATAGAAACGCCAACATTTAATACTATGCTAATAACTATATTTTTACGATATTAATCATTATGCAATTTTAATGAACACCTATCCCTACTTTAAAAGTCATGCTTAAATTATTAATTAATAATTTGAAAATAGATTGCAGTCGTACATTTAGCAGGAACTATATAGTAGGCATAGGTCTATACCAAAATCATAAACCTTTGACTTTGATTGAACGTTTGCCTTATTATATTATTAATGAATTAATGTATGTTGTAGTAGTTTATAAAACCGTATGATTAAATTCTTTAAATTTGTGAAGTCTCTAAAAAATAAATAATAAAAAATAAATAAAAGTACCGATATAAGCTAACAAATAAAAAAAAAAATTATTAAAAAAACAACAAAAAAAGGCAGGAGCCCAGTTTGAGTAAAGTTACAACAGCTATGACGAGTAGGCCAGTAGGGCCAGTTACCAGAAGGCTATCGGCTATTCAGTTAGTTGAGTTAGATTTAGTTACACTATCACTATCACTATCACAGTACAGACAACACTGTCCGTCACTATCTAATCAATCATTCTATGCAGAGGGCCTATTTAAATCTTAATATCGTTGCATTATAAATTAATGGACAAGACAATGCATCTTTTTCACATTGTCAATAAGCCGATAAGGCAGTTATTTTAGTATCAGTTCAGTATTCAATTGATCGCTTAGGACAGTTGCCAACAGCAACCGACAATGACGTGTCATGGTTCTTGGAAATAGTAATCAGGCCAAAGTGAAACCAGGTCAGGAAAAGGATTAGTCGGAACTACAGAGAAACCGTTAAATTTTTTTGTTTTAGGAAGATTCCATTCCTTTAGCACAATCAGCAATAATAAAGAGTGTAATAGTTTTTCAACTCATAGTTAGTAGGATAACCCTGTGACTGCGTAACTGATTTTTTCTTCTTCAATTTCTTCCAAAAACAAAAATAGACTATGACTAGTCATCGTACGGGTACATTTGAACTGTTTCAATACTATTAGTAATTGTTGACTTTGACACTTGGAGTATGTATAATCATAAGTATTTAGTATTATGATTATGTAAACACTGTCAGAGTATGTCACATGTCATAAATTAATTAACTGACTGATATAAGGAGTGATTCATAATTCAGTTTAAATATATTTGAAATAATCGAAACCGAAACCAGAATTTTCTAATCTCCATTTGAAGTTTGAGTTGACAGCAGGCAGAAAACTTGTTCTTACTAATCTTACTTACGCCAACAACCTCGCTAACGTAGACAAAGATGTGTTGATTTCCGAGGGAGTGATGTGAAGAAAGTGTGTAAATCAGACCAAAAGAGAAATACAAACGATAAATGTTTTTTTAAAGGTTGAACAACATGTCACGAGCATTTGAGTAAGTTGGCAACATTACAAGACGAATATATTTACAATTTTGTTTATCAGGCCAAGTTAGGTAATTAGTATTACTAATTAATATTACTAATTAACTAATTAATATATAATTTGGGTGAAAAAAAAAGTTCCATTAATCATTAATGTGATCCATTAATCTTCATTAACTATGACATGAGTATGAGTTTGGACAGTTGCACTACATTTGTTTTGTCATTTATTAAAAAAAAAAAAAAAATTCCTCTGTCCACTTTACTGTCTTTTACAAACACTTTAAATTAAAAAAAAAAAAATCGCATCCCATGGATATCAAATTACTGCACCGTAACAAAAACATTTTCCTAAAACAATGGTTCTTAACCAGAGCTGAAAGCACTCCCTGATGCATGGAAGACCCAAAAAAGTGTATTGCTAGTTGTTGCTGCCTTAAAAAATAATCAACTTTTATTCATTTCGATTAGGAGCAATAAATGCTTTTTCTGGTGAATTTTGTTTGCGCATTACTTGTCTTGTTTTACCCGATGTTAACAGGAAGTTAAGTAAAGAAATAAAACAACTATAACTAAATNTAAAGAAATAAAACAAATTTAACTTAATTATTTAATTACTTTCATAATTTAAATTTTATTACAATATTATTTACACAGTTTGTTTGGGGGGGGGGGGGATGTTTAAAACTGAGGGAGACCATGTTAGAAGAAATACCTAGTGTTAGGCCTACTATCTTTACTCTTTACCCTGCTCATACATTAAAGCAAATTTTAAGAGCCACCTATTTCTTGTTATTAAAAAAAAAACCATGGAAAAAACTAATGAAATTGAAAAAGAAAACAACCTTGTCTTAATCCAAACATTGCAAGCTTGAAGCTAGCCACCTTTTTCCAACTTAATTTTTTATTAATTATCTTATCTTGATTCGAAATCTGTAAGTAATGAAAAAAAAATTCACCTCTTTTAAACATTTAAATGAGATAATTATTTATTGCAATGGTGTAAAATTTTGGATATTCATCTCTTTGCATAAAATTCCCTTATATAGCAGCCACAATAAAATAAATGTTATTTTGCTGCCCTACTTGATTAAATTTTTGTATTATTTGTTCAACCAAAAAAAAATGTCTACATCAGTGGATCTTAAAATAAAATATTCCACTTCAGATAAAATACATTTCATAATGTCAACAGAGTATTTACTTCTATTTGTTTTTTTTTTTTAAAATCTTTAAATAAGGTAACCTATAAATTTATGTTTTGTAAATAGTTAAAGTTAAAAAACAGTTGCTGGAAGTCAAGTGCGCTCTTAGGAGGAAATTACATTTTCAGAAAGGTTGTATAAATTACAACCTTTTGTTCAACTAAAAAAAATATTTCTTATTAACAAAAAGTTTTTAAATTTTAAGCTTAGATTGGCCGACTATAAATATAGTTACCCTAAACTATTAAAAAATGAATACAATTTCATAATGTTTCATTATATTTTCATTATGCTTAATTGTATTTTCATTATTTAATAATATTTATTTCTTCTAATCTGTTGAGCCTCTGTTTGCATTACTTTTATATCTGTTAATATCTTTTAGCTTTGGTCCAAGAGGAGGAGGCAGAGGAGCAGGCGGAGGTGCACACAGGGGGGGGGGGGGTGTGGGGAGGGGGGAGAGCACCATGTTCAAATATTTTGCATGAATATTTTAATTTTCAAAAGTTACATTACTGTATTTTTTTCTCCAGTTCTTCTTCTGTGTCTTCTGATTCAAGTCACAGTAGCAGAGGTGGAGGGCGTCAAGGTCAGCATACAGGTGGAGGAGGTCAAGGTCAGCATAGAGGTGGAGGAGGTCAAGGTCAGCATAGAGGCGGCAGACGAGATTCAAGCAGCGGAGGGGGAAGGGGTGGTGGGTTCCACGGGAGAAGGGGAGGCGCAGGCTTTCAAGACAATACGGGGCGAGATGAAAACAGACATGTTGACGGAAGGGACAACAGAGGTCAGGGTAGGAGTGGGACTGGAGACTACACGCCAAAGCCAATGGGCTTTGCTCGGCTGAAGACATGGGCCGAGACAGAAGATGCTGGCTCATTGATCTTATTCATGTGCGCTGAATACAAGCAAATTGAGCTTTTCCTCTCACAAAACTCGATCAAAGAAGATTGGTTTTTTCTGCTGGTCAAAGCTGTAAACCACGCGCTGTCAGCTCAGCACCAGAAGGAATCTATCAAAAAGTTGTTGGAGGTCTTATGCAGAGGAAAGTTCTTTGAAACTCACTTAGTTGTCTTTTTCCTAGACAAATCACAAAACGGAAATTCGTGGGTCGAGGCTAAAGACGTGTTTACTTGGATCACAAATATTTTGAAGGAAATATTGGATAAACTTCCCCTTAATGCTAGCAGTTGTATGGTAGCTACAAGTATCCTACTTCAGAATGCCTGCACATTTTCTAGTATTAGTTCTAGCAGTGATCTCATGGACACCATTAGAGAGTTAACTATTAAAGCAAGGACTGTCAGAAACAACGAGATGGATAGAGAACAAGGCAAAAAGGGTGCCAAATTTCTTAAAGCTGGAGATGACGAACAACCCCCGGATAATTTTATGGATATTTCAGTAATTCCCACAGTCTTAGATTTAAAGGAGGATTCCCGACCATTTGTTCGAAAAGCTATCACCGAAGGAGTGTATGAAGACGCCAAACACTATCTGGACGTGCAGTTTAGACTCATGAGGCAGGATTTTGTTCTTCCCCTGAGACAGGGGATCAACGATTTTATCAAGAATGGTTCTAAAAAAGATTTCTGGAGTTCCGACCTGAGGTTCTACTCTGATGTGCATATTGCTGGAATGGTCAGTAGAGATGGGATCGACCACATCCTTCAGTTTGATGTTTCAAAGCTGAAAAACATAAAGTGGGAGAGCTCAAAACGTTTGATATTTGGATCGCTGGTGTGCTTGTCCAAAGACAATTTCAAGAATGTTGTGTTCGCCACAGTGGCCCACAGAGACGTCAAACTGCTGGTTAAAGGAAACATTTCCGTCAATGTTAAAAGCGGTCATGACATTGTGTTCAATTCAACGTCAAGTGACGTTTTCATCATGGCAGAGACAACGGCTTACTTTGAGTCCTATTGCCATGTCCTGGAAGGACTTCAGGAGATGTCAACAAATCTTCCGTTGCAGGACTACATTATCAAGTGCAAGAAGGAATTAAAACCTCCAAAATATCTGCTGCCGTCGGGCGGGATTGTGCACGGGATACCGATGTACAACATCTCACCCTTGATGTTGACAGGTGAGAGCATAGATGTGCCTGTGCTAACTACAATAAAGTGGCCACAAGCAAACACGATGTGCTTAAATGAGTCCCAAAGAGAAGCTGCGATCCTTGCACTGACAAAAGAAATGGCCGTCATTCAGGGACCTCCAGGAACAGGGAAAACCTACGTCGGTCTGAAAGTAATGGAGGTTCTGTTGAAAAACAAGCAGGTCATGGCCGGAAGCGTGGACAGCATCTCTGACCCGATTCTTGTTGTTTGCTACACAAACCATGCCCTGGACCAGTTCTTGGAAGGTGTTTTGAAGTTCTGTCCTGACGGCATCGTGCGCGTGGGTGGGAGGAACAGTTCGGAACAGCTCGAGAAATTCAACATTAAAAACCTGAAGCTTAAGTTAAGATCGGAGAAATCATTTGTTGACAGGTCTGTAAGAAATTCCAAATCTGAATGCATGAGAGAACTGAAAGAGGTGTCAGAGGTGATAAATGGCAAGAATACTATCATGAATAACCTGGAGACAGAGATTCAAGATGAAGAAGTCTTGAGGGAGTTCATGTTGGAGAGACATCATGCCAGTCTTGGCAGAGGTGGGCAAAAAAAATCACAAATGCGACAGTGGCTAAATGCTTCAAATGAAACACCTCAAGCCATCATACCACAGATGATCAAACAACACCTGACCAAGCTGGTGCTGAAGTGGACAACGGTTTCAGAAAACTTGTACCTCACTGAGAAAATGGACATCACTCAGAGGGCCAGTCTTTATATGCATTGTGTGATGCTCTACAGAAATGCACTGTATCAGGAAATGACGTATCTGTCTCAGCAGTATCAAAATCAGTTCATTCACGGACAAATACAAAATCTGGAGCGTATGTTTCAGCTTTCGTTCACCGCCATCATCCCAGACCAGCTTCTCCAGTGGGTTTTGCAAGAATATTTGACAGACTCATTTTTTGAAACAATTTACAAGATGGTTGAAAGAGGCAAAAAGGCACAGTTTACCGATCATGTGGTAGAAGCCTGGCTCCTTGGACTGCACAAGGATTTTCACGGTCAGCTTGATGAAATTCAGACCCTGACAAATCTTTTGAGTGGCGAAGAGGTGGACAGAGACACATTTGATGATTCTGAGATGTCCAAACTGGCCCAAGATGAACGAATGATTGATGATGGGGATGACGATGAGGATGAAGAGGGAGGACCTAACTATGACGCCAAAGTGAAGCTTGCGAGGAACTCGATGGCTTCTGTAATACAGAGAGTGGAAATGTTAGGAATAAAAGAGGACACATTACCTATGAATGAGAGTGAGGCTGTTGATGAGTGGACGACTGTCAGCCACGCCAAACCCCTCACTTTTAGAAAAATCCGGCACAAGCTGTTAGCCATCAAGCCAATGACAGACATTGAAGAAGACAGAATAACAGATGTCTGGGCCTTAGATCTGAATAAGAGATACGCCTTGTACAACTGCTGGATTAAAAAATTCAAAGAGCAAATGACGTCACAGATGGAAGAATACATCGAGCGTTACACTGCAGCCTTTGCTCGTAAGCAGGAAATCAACAGAGAAGAAACTTTGTTTTTGTTGAGGAAGGCCAGAGTCATCGGCATGACAACCACTGGGGCAGCCAAACACAGGGCTGTACTCCAGGCTCTAGGCTGTAGGATCATTGTGGTGGAGGAAGCTGCTGAAGTTCTGGAGTCTCACATCGTGACGGCCCTCAACAAGAAATGTAACCACCTGATATTGATTGGCGACCACCAACAGCTGCGTCCAAACCCAACCGTCTATCTTTTGGCTAAGAAATTTGGTCTTGAAATATCACTGTTTGAGAGACTGATAAAAAATGGAGTACCTCATGTGTTATTGAAAGAACAACACAGGATGCGTCCGGAAATCTCCAAAATAATGCAACACATTTATCCCGAACTACAGAATCACTTATCAGTATTTGAGTATGCACGGGTACGTGGTTTGTCCAAAGATATTTTCTTTATTGATCACAAAGAAAAAGAAACGAAAGTAGATGACACCAAGAGCAAAGCAAACCTATATGAGGCCAAGTATGTCGTGTGTCTGTGCAAATATTTCATGCTCCAGGGATACGATCCATCCGAGGTGACCATCTTGGCAACATACACAGGCCAGGTTTTTGCCATCAAGAAGACAATGAAAGAGATGAAGTTTGAGGCTCGCGTGAGAGTCACAGCCGTGGACAACTACCAGGGAGAAGAGAATCAGATCATCATTTTGTCATTGGTGAGGAGTAATGTCGAGAACAACGTTGGGTTTCTCAAGGTGGACAACAGAGTATGTGTGGCGCTGTCAAGAGCGAAGAAAGGTCTGTTTGTCATTGGCAATTTTGAGTCCTTAGAAACACAAAGTGGTCTGTGGAAAAATATTGTTGCAACTGCCAAAGACGATAACATAATAGGCAATGGGCTCCCCGTGTGCTGCCAGAACCACCCGGAGTTTCAAGAGGTCATCACTTCTTACAAAGACTTTGAACTGAAATGCCCAGAAGGTGGTTGCGGCCGCCCATGTAGTTACAGATTGAACTGTGGCCACGTCTGTGCCCGTAAATGCCACGGATACGACCTGGAGCACACAAGTTATAAATGCAGCAAACCCTGTGCCAAGACCTGTCCTGAAGGCCACAACTGCTCCAAGAAATGCTTCCAAGAATGTGGAGACTGCAAGGAAATGGTGAAAAAGGTGATTCCGTTGTGTGGACACAAGGATCTGGTGAGGTGCCACATGGCACCCATTAAAGCCGTGTGCTCACAGCAGTGTTCCAGTCTGCTCGGCTGCGAGCACCAGTGCCCGGGAAAGTGCGGGGTTTGTAGGATTAATGGTCTCCACAGCGAATGCACTTTTCAGCTTCAGCACGCGTGGCCGTGTGGTCACATTTCCAGTATCGCCTGTGGAAAAAAGCAGAACCAAATACCATGTCCAAAAGAGTGCAATGGACAGCTGGACTGTGGTCACAAATGCAAAGGGACGTGCTCAGAGTGTCTAGGTGGAGCGGTGCATGTGGCGTGTAAAGAAAAATGCAAGAAACTCCTTCCTTGCGGTCATAAATGTGAAGGTTTTTGTGGAGTGGCCTGTCTGCCATGTACAAAGCCTTGTCCAACCAAATGTGTACACGGCGCTTGTTACTCAGGAAAGTCTCAACAGATGTGTGGCCATGAATGCATTCCATGCAAAGAACCCTGCAGGAACAAATGCAGTCACAATGGTTGTGTAAAGCTTTGTTCAGAAATGTGCAGCAAGCCGCAGTGTAATGAGAGATGCAATAAAAAAGTTCACGTCTGTAATGGCAAGTCAAAAAAAAAAGATTGTAAAGATAAGATGCATTCGTGTACACATAAGTGTTCCGGGCTGTGTGGGGAAGGCTGCGTATGTGCCATATGTCAGAAAGTCACATCTCTGCCAATTAAAAAAGAAAACAAAGCCAGTGTTCCAGAACAGCAAGTACAAAGTATGGATCAAGGAGAGAACAAGATTGTTATAAAAGTCCCTGGCTGCCATCATGTTTATTACGTAGATGAGTTTGACGCCTATGTTAAAAATTTTGACCCAGAAGGCTCTAAGAATATAGAATGCCCCGCGTGTTCAAAGCCCATAGTGGAGATGAGACGTTATCAAGACATTATCAATGCCAGGGCTAAAAACAGAGAGGCCGTCAAAAGAGAACTCATAAAAGGAAGTGAGGTCAGCAAGGAGGACAAGCGGGAACTCCAGCTGTCACAGAATGACATCGGTGGCATTTCTTTCTTGGACGAATTCCGTGTCATTCACGGAGAGGATGTACAAAATAAAAACGAGATGACGGTGTTATCTTTTCAGCTAAAGTGCGCTTTCATGCTCGGCGCCATCTTGTCTGTCGGCGAAGGAGCTTCAGAAGACCCGCTGACACCCATAAAGAAAGCATTGTTGAAAATAAATAGCGGGCTGACCAAACAGCAAAGGGACGAGTTTACCACTGAGCTTCTCAAACGTTTGAGATCGGAATATCTGAGAAAGCTGGAGGAGTTTGGCAGTTTGTACGAAGTGGCGGTGCCGGTCCACTGGAGAGAACAGATTAACGAAAGTAGGCGGGCCTTAAGTCAGCAGAGAGCCCATAAGGACAGCCTCGATAGAGCTAAGCATGTCGTGGATTCATTCAAGAGAATGATCGTCAACGACGAAAATGCTAGCTCATTTCTGAAGATGCAGTGTGAGGTTCTGCAGAACTCAATCGAAAGGGCAACGAAAGTTATGACTTCAGATGATGATGAGGTGAGTGACCAGGTCATGACATAAACAAAGACAGAAACAGATTGACATACTTATCTAAAATATGTTATAAGAGTATGCTATTTTACATAATAATAATTGTAAGTTATTTTGTTTTTAATGTAAGGTTGTTTTTAAAAGTCAAATTTGACAAAATCAACACAATCATTTGGGTTAGTGTTTTTACATTTCTGACAACCCAAGGTGGGTGACATTTGTAGAAACATTAAACGGACCATTAAGATGGAAATTATATATTTTGTGTGCTTTCTATTAAACATAATATGCATTAAATTTTCTATTTGATTTTAATAACCAGGAACCAATTTGTAAAAACTCATTTAAAATTGAATGTAGTGAACTAATGAGATACTGGTAGCAAAATGTAATACAAAGAAAGTAAATGAGATCACCAGTTAAAAACCACAAGTTTAGTTCATCAAACTCATCATTTACTTAGCTTGACCTAGCTTTGCTATCTGTCATTAGTTTCTTGATCACAATCCATGGTTATTTTTATAAGTTCTAGCCTTCCATTGTTAGTGCTAGGTCAACATCAATCTAATAGTTTAGACACAATTCTGCTCTAAAAGGAGTTGAATATTTGGGTTGTTGTCGTAGATGCTGCATGATGTTCTGCACCCAGAAGAGAAAGCAAGAAAAGCAATGATGAAATTAAAGTCTTCCATCAATAACCCTACTACAGAAAGGTAATGATTTAAGATTGAATGGAAAGATGATTTAAGATTGAATAGAAAGGTAACGATTTAAGATTGAATGGAAAGATGATTTAAGATTGAATAGAAAGGTAATGATTTAAGATTGAATGGAAAGGTAACGATTTAAGATTGAATGGAAAGGTAATGATTTAAGATTGAATGGAAAGGTAACGATTTAAGATTGAATGGAAAGATAATGATTTAAGATTGAATGGAAAGGTAATAATTTAAGATTGAATGGAAAGGTAACGATTTAAGATTGAATGGAAAGGTAATGATTTAAGATTGAATGGAAAGGTAATGATTAAAGATTGAATGGAAAGGTAATGATTTAAGATTGAATGGAAAGGTAACGATTTAAGATTGAATGGAAAGGTAATGATTTAAGATTGAATGGAAAGGTAACGATTTAAGATTGAATGGAAAGGTAATGATTTAAGATTGAATGGAAAGGTAACGATTTAAGATTGAATGGAAAGGTAACGATTTAAGATTGAATGGAAAGGTAATGATTTAAGATTGAATGGAAAGGTAATGATTTAAGATTGAATGGAAAGGTAACGATTTAAGATTGAATGGAAAGGTAATGATTTAAGATTGAATGGAAAGATGATTTAAGATTGAATAGAAAGGTATCGATTTAAGATTGAATGGAAAGATGATTTAAGATTGAATAGAAAGGTAATGATTTAAGATTGAATAGAAAGATAATGATTTAAGATTGAATAGAAAGGTAACGATTTAAGATTGAATGGAAAGATGATTTAAGATTGAATAGAAAGGTAACGATTTAAGATTGAATGGAAAGGTAATGATTTAAGATTGAATGGAAAGATGATTTAAGATTGAATAGAAAGGTAACGATTTAAGATTGAATGGAAAGGTAATGATTTAAGATTGAATGGAAAGGTAACGATTTAAGATTGAATGGAAAGGTAATGATTTAAGATTGAATGGAAAGGTAATGATTTAAGATTGAATGGAAAGGTAATGATTTAAGATTGAATGGAAAGGTAACGATTTAAGATTGAATGGAAAGGTAATGATTTAAGATTGAATGGAAAGGTAACGATTTAAGATTGAATGGAAAGGTAATGATTTAAGATTGAATGGAAAGGTAATGATTTAAGATTGAATGGAAAGGTAATGATTTAAGATTGAATAGAAAGGTAACAATTTAAGATTGAATGGAAAGGTAATGATTTAAGATTGAATGGAAAGATGATTTAAGATTGAATAGAAAGGTAACAATTTAAGATTGAATGGAAAGGTAATGATTTAAGATTGAATGGAAAGGTAACGATTTAAGATTGAATGGAAAGGTAATGATTTAAGATTGAATGGAAAGGTAACGATTTAAGATTGAATGGAAAGGTAATGATTTAAGATTGAATGGAAAGGTAATGATTTAAGATTGAATGGAAAGGTAATGATTTAAGATTGAATAGAAAGGTAACGATTTAAGATTGAATGGAAAGGTAATGATTTAAGATTGAATGGAAAGGTAATGATTTAAGATTGAATGGAAAGATGATTTAAGATTGAATAGAAAGGTAACAATTTAAGATTGAATGGAAAGGTAATGATTTAAGATTGAATGGAAAGGTAATGATTAAAGATTCAATGGAAAGGTAATGATTTAAGATTGAATGGCAAGGTAATGATTTAAGATTGAATTTAAAGGTAATGTTTTAAGATTGAATGGAAAAGTAATAATTTAAGATTGAAAACAATTTTACTACTAGCAATGATGCGCTTCTCTTGTAAAGTTGACAAAACACTGTTTGGAAGTAGTTGTCACAGTGGTTCCCAGAATATTTGACTCAAGTATTATTGTGATTCATAGCACCTTGTGCATGGTGAAACCTGGTAGAAATTTGTGAATAGTGAAACCTGGTAGAACCTTGTGGATAGTGAAACCTGGTAGCACCTTGTGAGTAGGGAAACCTGATAGCTCTGTGTGAATAGTTAAACCTGGTAGCACCTTGTGCATAGTGAAACCAGGTAGCACCTTAGAAGCGTGAAACCTTGTAGAACCTTGTGAAGAGTGAAACCTGGTAGCACCTTGTGCATAGTGAAACCTTGAAGCACCTTAGAAGTGTGAAACCTTGTAGAACCTTGTGAAGAGTGAAACCCTGTAGCACCTTGTGCATAGTGAAACCTGGTAGCACCTTGTGCATAGTGAAACCTGGTAGCACCTTGTGCATAGTGAAACCTGGTAGCACCTTGTGCATAGTGAAACCTGGTAGCACCTTGTGCATAGTGAAACCTTGTAGCACCTTGTGAAGAGTGAAGCATTTATTTAAAAAATAGTTTACAATTTCCCATCCCCTCAAAAAAAATCCATAAATCTTTCTAGAAATTTTACGCATCCAAAACGTTCAAATTGACTGGCTTATATTTACTGGCTATTTATTTTAACTTTAAAATAAAACATATGCTATCTATGTCCATAAATGACAAATAAAGCATTCAAAAAAACTCTTTATTGATGTTTTAAAAAAAAATGTCTTTAATAAATCTTTAGCCCAATTAATAACTAGTGGCCCTATTTAAAATTTGAATATTTTAAGTTTTTTTAACAGTTTAAAAAAATGATTGTTTAATTGAAATGAAAGTTATATATGTAATAACTACTCATTTAAAAAAAAAAATTGTTTCAATAGGGCTGCTCCCCCAACTGAAAGATTGTCCAGCAAATTGGCCTCAACACCAATGTCAAGCTTAATAAAGCATTCGGCTCAAGGACAGCAGCTGCCGAGTCTGGGAGACTGGGGAAAAGAACAGCAAACCAAGCTGGCAAAGAAACTGCCAGAGAAAGCATCAGAGAAAGCCCCAGAAAAACCTTTCAGTACAAGACCCCAGCAGGAGTGTTTTCTTATCAATCTCGAGTCTGACTCAGACTCTTCTGAACAAGGATTTCAGATGGATGAGGCCGACAATTACTCAAGCTCTGATTGAAGTTCGTATTTTTAAAAATAGATTTTCCTATGTAACATAAATTAAATGTAAAATTAAAATTTTTGGAAATCGGACATTTTAATTTTCACAAGAGATGAACTGATTAATTATAGGTATCTATTATTTGATAGAGTCTATCATCATTATTTCATTCAGTTCTCATGCACTTACTGGTTTCACAGGGTTGTGCTTCTTTTCTACAGAATTTTTTATTTCATTTTGCGTCTGTTCACTTTGGGTCTTCTGCTGTTTATCTTCCCTATGCTGTCCACCCCAGTGCTGTTCATCTTATTGCTGTCCATCTTGATGCTGTCCATCTTAGAGTTGTCCTCTAGACAAGATTACTCCATCACCATATAAATGATTAATTGGTCGTTATTAAATAATTAAAAATTTAATTTAGTTTAGCTCCTGGGTCTGTTATCTACAATCACTTTAGCGTATTTCTGATCCAAATAAACTCTGGTGTATTCAGCTAACCCATGCCAAAATGAGATGCAAAGTGATATTAATGGCATTTGGAACCAGATAGCAAATTGTTGCTGTGAGCATGCTAAAATAGCATGGACACAAGGGCTATACATTTAATCATGGAATCAATACAATTTAATCTGTGTAAAAGCTTAATCGCAGTCCAACACTTTACGAATTAGTTAATAGAATTTACAGGCTGTTTTTTGTGTGGCTTATTTCTTTTTCAATATATTTGTGTCAACTCTGGATTGAAGATGAGTTGTCTGTGACTTATGAGTTGTCTGTGACTTGACTTATGAGTTGCCTTCGATTTATGAGTTGTCTGTGACTTGTGACTAATGACTTTTCTGTGACTAGTGACTTATGACTTTTCTGTGACTTGTGGCTTGTCTGTGACTTATGACTTGTGACTTATCACATTGCTTTTCTGTTGATACAAATGTTTTTATTTTTATTAACAAATAGTTAATTCAAGTATCTATTGTTTTCTAAACATTACCAACCTAGTTGAATTTACAAATGTAATTTGGTGAGGAATAAATTACAATGTTCTCTTTGTATTATCAAAGTTTTATTGATTGTATCACCTGGTGGATTCAGGAAGTTGAATCCAATTTTTAAATTCATTGACAACATTATTTAAATATTTTGTTTACTTTTAATAATATGTAAATTATTCAGGATATTATACCGGCTTATCCATATCTTTTTATAAATGTGTACGTCTAATATATATATATATTTATTTACACTTACGGTTGTTTTGATAATATATTTATACTATGTCTCCATCTAAAAAAATTGTTAATAATATGTCCAAACTATAAAAAAAAATTGTTTATACTGTGTCCCAACTAAAAAATTGTTTTTACTGTGTCCCAACTAAAAACATTGTTAATACTATGTCCCAACTAAAAAAAATTGCTTATACTATGTCCCAAAAAAAATAAAAAATTTAATAGACTTGTTTATTTATTACACATTGTAGTAGTTTGACCTTGAAATTGTGTAAAGAAATTTAGGATCCCTTTAGTTAAAAATTTTAAAATGTGTACACTTTACATAAAAGAGTTTCTCCCCTTTCCATTTTTATTTTTACTGGAATATCTGAATTTCAATTTGAAACCGCGGAGACAATCTATAGCGATGTTCTTGATTGCGTTATTAATTTGATTAAAAATTCTTTATTCACTTTATTGATTGTTTCAGGGACCCTTTACAGAGAAAAGCAATGACAGTGATAAAATTGATTCACATTATTGTTCAAGTAATAAGTATAATAATATTTTTCTTGATATTTCTTTAAAAAAAAAAAAAAAGTTTTTGCCCATTAGCAAAGATTAAGGTTAGTTAAAAGCGTTCAACTGTTGAATCTTTTTACAGAAGATGTGCAAATATGTTCCTACAGCTGAACAAATAATATATATAAATAAGACATACTAGATAATAACGAGACAAATCCTTGATAAAACACTTTTATTGAAAGATGATCATTGTCATCTTTGTATGCAATGTTTTTTAAATTTTTTTTATTATTAAGGTTTGATCTCGTTTCGTCGTGTTTGAAAAGAAACCATTCAGTTATTAATTAATTGACTGAGTCCAAAGGGAGTTTCGTTCATTCAAGCGGTTAGATATCCCATTGAAAATAACACAATTTTAATCTGTCTGACTGTTCCGTTATTTTACTCAATTCTGAAATTTATGTAATTTATTTAACAATGAAGTTTCATAAAACAAGTAATATATGTACTAATAATACAGTATTACTACACCATAGACAGTAATTTACTACATTTTGGCTGTGCTGAATATTATTTTAGGTAAATAAGCTGTTTCTGACTTTAAAAATGGGTGATTTTAAGAAGATTGTTGAATTTTGCTTTAAATTTTAAAAAAATGTTTTAAAATTTTTAAATAATAGCAACATTTTCTATTTTTATTGCTGAGTAAGTCAGTGTTAGATTATGACTTCCTTGTTAATCAGCAAAACTATTATTGCGACAGCAGAACATTAGATGATACTTGGAGCTTATGTTATTTTAGTGTAGTGGACGGTTTGATCCTAAATGTTTACGTAACATTCCATTATTTAGTTAAGTTTTTATTATGTAACTAATTATGGTAATGTTCATAGTTGTTGTAGTTCCGATGATGACAGATCTTCCACATGTTGATATTTGAAATGGGAAAGGTCAATAAATTTAGACAGGTGTGTTTGTTTTGAAATAGTGATATTGAAAAAAAGCGAATGTGGGCACTGGGGCAGTGATATTGAAAAAAAGCAAATGTGGGTACTGGGGCAGTGATATTGAAAAAAAGTGAATGTGGGCATTGGGGCAATGATATTGAAAGAAAGCAAATGTGGGCACTGGGGCAGTGATATTGAAAAAAAGCGAATGTAGGCATTGGGGCAGTGATATTGAAAAAAAGCAAATGTGGGCACTGGGGCAGTAATATTGAAAAAAGCAATTGTGGGCACTGGGGCAATGACATTGAAAGAAAGCAAATGTGGGCACTGGGGCAGTGATATTGAAAAAAAGCAAATGTGGGCAGGGGGGAGGTAATATTGAAAAAAGCAATTGTGGGCACTGGGGCAATGACATTGAAAGAAAGCAAATGTGGGCACTGGGGCAGTGATATTGAAAAAAAGCAAATGTGGGCACTGGGGCAGTGATAGTGACAAAAGAGAATGTGGGCACTGGGGCATTAGTTGTTTTATGATTTTGATAGTGCTCAAGAAGCCTACAGGGCATTTGAATTTTAAAATATACTTTAGTTGTGACCTTTGATAATTATTTTATCATTTGACAATTTATTTGATAAATATATATATAGATAGATATATAAATATATATACATTCATAAAACATTTTGGAGACTTATTGCCAGGACTTTCAATTTTTTTCATTTATGAACAATAAATTTTAAACAATTTAAAAAGATAAATTATTTTGTTCTTACATAAATTGTTTACAGTCTTCATTAGAAATAATAAATTCCTCAAACATACAAGAATATTTTATTCACCTATAACAATAAACAAACAAATTCTTTCACAGCCCTAAATGTCTTACTAAAACAATCAAATCCTTTGCAACCCTAAATATCTTACGAAACTAAAACACAATCAAATTAGTCACAACCCTAAGACACAATCAAATCCATCACAACTTTTTTGTTCTTTCATATAAAAATTAAAAAAAAAAAAAAATCAACTCTTTTTTTTCCTTCTTTCGTTCTTATTTAATACGTAGGGTACATATTTACTTAACATAAATTGTCCTTCTTTCGTTTTTATTTAAAACTAAAACACAATCAAATTAGTCACAACCCTAAAAAACAATCAAATCCATCACAACTTTTTTGTTCTTTCATATAAAAATTAAAAAAAAAAAAAAAATCAACTCTTTTTTTTCCTTCTTTCGTTCTTATTTAATACGTAGGGTACATATTTACTTAACATAAATTGTCCTTCTTTCGTTCTTATTTAATACGTAGGGTACATATTTACTGAACCTAAATTCAGACAGTTTGTGTTTGACTGATGAAGGCATGAGCCGAGATGTTCAAAGATTTATTTGTATTTTACTTATTAAATAAAGAATAAACATACTGCTTGACCCTTAAAACATATATATGTCTTATTACTCTACTTGAGATTATCATAGTCCCAAACCCCTTGTAAGTATGCTAATTTTTTTTACACTAAATACTAATTATTTGTATTCTCTTGTGCATAAATGTGATGTCCTCAGGGTACAGTAGTTACTCTAACCAAACGGACAGAAAGAAAATTAAAACGAGTGAGATGTAGAGAGAGAGATGTCCTGTCCCTTTTTCCCCAATCTACTCCCACTAACTCAAATCACAGCCCCAGCAACACCTCACCAACACAACACAACACCCAGTCTTGCTTATAAAAATCACCACAAACAACAAAGGGGAGACAATCCCTTGCTGGCAAGGGCTGGGGATGTTCAATCAATATTTTCATCCCTCAAGAAATCAGACAGAGATCCGTTGCAATGTTTTTGTTGTTATTGCCCTTTTGGAAAACACAAACTTTCGCTGGAGAGCTCCATTGTCTGACCTTCACGTACTTTCTTGAATGTAAGAATTACTTCCCATTCATTTCGATGCCCAAAGATATCTCGAGATGTTGGTGGTCGTTGTTGGTGGTTGTTGTTGGTGGTTGTTGTTGGTGGTTGTTGTTGGTGGTTGTTGTTGGTGGCTGTTGTTGGTGGCGGTTGTTGGTGGTGGTTGTTGGTGGTTGTTGGTGGTGGTTGTTGGTGGTGGTTGTTGTTGGTGGTTGTTGTTGGTGGTTGTTGTTGGTGGTTGTTGTTGGTGGTTGTTGTTGGTTGTTGTTGTTGGTGGTTGTTGTTGGTGGTTGTTGTTGGTGGTTGTTGTTGGTGGTTGTTGTTGGTGGTTGTTGTTGGTGGTTGTTGTTGGTGGTTGTTGTTGGTGGTTGTTGTTGGTGGTTGTTGTTGGTGGTTGTTGTTGGTGGTTGTTGTTGGTGGTTGTTGTTGGTGGTTGTTGTTGGTGGTTGTTGTTGGTGGTTGTTGTTGGTGGTTGTTGTTGGTGGTTGTTGTTGGTGGTTGTTGTTGGTGGTTGTTGTTGGTGGTTGTTGTTGGTGGTTGTTGTTGGTGGTTGTTGTTGGTGGTTGTTGTTGGTGGTTGTTGTTGGTGGTTGTTGTTGGTGGTTGTTGTTGGTGGTTGTTGTTGGTGGTTGTTGTTGGTGGTTGTTGTTGGTGGTTGTTGTTGGTGGTTGTTGTTGGTGGTTGTTGTTGGTGGTTGTTGTTGGTGGTTGTTGTTGGTGGTTGTTGTTGGTGGTTGTTGTTGGTGGTTGTTGTTGGTGGTTGTTGTTGGTGGTTGTTGTTGGTGGTTGTTGTTGGTGGTTGTTGTTGGTGGTTGTTGTTGGTGGTTGTTGTTGGTGGTTGTTGTTGGTGGTTGTTGTTGGTGGTTGTTGTTGGTGGTTGTTGTTGGTGGTTGTTGTTGGTGGTTGTTGTTGGTGGTTGTTGTTGGTGGTTGTTGTTGGTGGTTGTTGTTGGTGGTTGTTGTTGGTGGTTGTTGTTGGTGGTTGTTGTTGGTGGTTGTTGTTGGTGGTTGTTGTTGGTGGTTGTTGTTGGTGGTTGTTGTTGGTGGTTGTTGTTTGTGGTTGTTGTTGTTGGTTGTTGTTGGTGGTTGTTGTTGGTGGTTGTTGGTGGTGGTGGTTGTTGGTGGTTGTTGTTGGTGGTTGTTGTTGGTGGTTGTTGTTTGTGGTTGTTGTTGGTGGTTGTTGTTGGTGGTTGTTGTTGGTGGTTGTTGACGGGATGGATGAACTTACTTTTCGTTACTGTATAAATAATTTGTGTTGCCAGTAACTGTGTGCCGTTGTAACGTCTTTTGAAAGAATGTTTGTTTTATTTTAAAACGCTTAAAGTATTACACAAGAGCTGACCAATTCTCGACTTGAAACCCATGAATATGGGTATTCTATAATAATGTCCTTTTCGATTTGACCTTTGATCGCACGCTTTTCACGGCTGGACGTTGTAATCCTTGAGCTAGGTGTTGATTGCTGGTCGTTGGCATTTGGTGAAAACTACCGACGTAAAATTGGATCGCCGATAACTAATTGAAAACATAACTTACAAGCTAAGCCCCCCCCCCCCCCCCCCCCCCCCCCCCCCCCCC